CCCTCGGCGGGTCTCTCGAACGCGCCGCATCGCGGCGTCATTCAGTTGAACGCTGACCGCCACGCGCGAAGGATCGCGTTACGTTCAGTATCTGTGCGACGTCACGAGTCACTCCCGGCTGTCAGCTCAGCTGTTCGTGCACTTTGACAGCGAGTCACGTCTCGTGTTTTCCCAGCGTGTCCTCGTTCCATCGTAACGATCTGCCATACGATCGTCGATCAAATTCGCTGCGAGAAAGTTTGCGTACGATTGTCGAGCCGATAAATTGCGTCGAATATTCGCCTTTCGAGTGTCTGTTCGCGAGGCACGTGCTCCTCCCGAGGGAATTAAGTATATAATTAAGTAAAGAACGCAGTGCGTTGAATTATTCCCTCAGACGGACGATTAGAGGTTTGTACGCAAACAGAGTTGCTCCGTTTGCGGACGGTCTGTTGGCAAACACGCTCGTCACACAGAGAATACGACATCGAGAAGGCTGTGTCTCCGATCAACGTTCACCTCGAGCACGTACACCGTTGTACGCGTTCGAAATTGCGCGCCTGAAATTACATTGAGAAGGGGACATCGTCGGGACACGTTCCCAGCCTCTTGGTAGCTTCTTAACGAAGCACTCCGCCTTTTAAACGAATTCAACAAGGCCACTCGTCCGCGGTCAATTCGTACCAGTCCGCGTGGACGGATTCGTCCCGCTCGTCTCCTCGCTCCATTAGGGTTGACTGACCGGCCGATTCACGAGTTATCGTGCTGGTCCGCGCGCAGTCTAAGATACATTCGCGAAGCGTGTACGATGCGCTTGTTCCGTCGCGACAACGTGATATATCGTCAAGGAAAACAGAGCGCGTGAAAGAGGAAGAGAGCAAGATCGCGGACACAGAAGCGTAACGCCGGTGGCTATACATCGAAAGAAGAGGATTTCGAGGCTGCCACGCGAATCCAGCGCGTAGTCGTCCGCCGAGAATCGTGAGCCCAGACGATCCGCAGTTAACGATCAACAAAAGTACTGGCCGGTAATTAGAGGTGGATTAATTGGACCGCGAAGCAGCTCGCGTCGGACGCGATGAAAGAGAAGAGGAACGTTGCGAGGAAGAGAGGATCGCTAGAATAAGCGCGCTGTGTTGCTTTCTCGCTTCAGGGATTCTCGTCTGCGACGAATTCCACCTCGTCTCTACGTGTAAATATTTACCGCATTGTCAGTGAACTCATTGGAACTGAAACACTTCTTCGTGTAATACGGATCTGTAAATTGGAACTTGTTCGCGAACAGGTTGTCCTTGTTCAGATTGCAGTTGCAACTTCCAATTATAGTAACTGCTCGCTAGTGTGTTTATGATACAGTTGTCAACCTGTGTCATCGTTTTTTCAACTTTTACAAGTTATTAGCCATCGTCTTTTTTTTTATACAAATCTTCACATTTATCGAAAGGACTACTTCCGAGCTTAATTACGATAAGTGAAACTGGGAAGATCGGAAGATCGATAGATCGAAAAAGGGTGGTCGATCGATTGATCACGAGCGCGAGTGAATCGGCGGCGGTCAGCGTGTCGGGGATCGGGTCGGAGGATGCGCCGTCGCGCGACAACGCGATTTTCGGCGATCGTGGCGATAGGATGTTGACAGCCCGTTCTGGGCCTTTTGGGCTCGGCGTACCGCGAACCCTGGGGCCCGCGGAGGGGAGTGATCATCTCTTCCTACTACCTGAAAGGGCACTGATCATGGATAGCACCCACTTGAGACAGGACCTGGCTGGTCTGGACTTCAACTTGCACCTGAACCTGCTTCACACTGCGCCTCGCGGCAACGTCTGGCTATGTGAGTCTCGCTACTTTGTACTAGGTCACTGTCTAGGGATGATAGAACGCGCGCGCGCAATAGACTTTTTATATCCTATGAAAACCAGAGGGGCAGAGATTCCGGTTCCATGGAACTGGTCTTTGATGTAGTTTCTCTTGTTTGTTTCGATGATTTGACGGTGTTGCTACAAACACGCGTTCGTGGTTGAAATGTAGACAAATTGCAGGATTCGTATGGTATGTATAGCAAGTATGTTTGATTAAATGGCTTCGTTCCGTCGATGATTCGGCATTCTAAATACAAAAGTAGGATCTTTTGTTTTTCCTCGCTCGTTCACCTGGTTCGTTTGTTAGAACGACTTTTACGATCGAGACGGAGCTAAATGTTTAACGCGTAATCAAGGTGCATTTGTTCGGATTACGTGTTTTTCGTCTGAATGGAGAACACGTTCGAGGTTACAAGAAATGCTGTTTTATTGGAACAAGTATTCTTTGAATCGCGTGCTCAACGCGGCTTCTGTGTGTTTCTAGCTATTCGTTTTAGTCGTTTAGCGTTTTCTTTTTGAATGCAGTGAAAATAAACCATAGAGAATTTTTATACACACGCAATCATTCAAATATATATACTATTCATAGATCTTCATAGCAACCGCATTGTGTAATGTTTTTTGCAAATCTCTCGTGTTCGGCTTTGTGCTTTCATAAAACGTACCAATTAATTTCTGAACGTAACCTAGAAATTGTAATGATCGGTGATTACCCGTAAAGTTTTTACTCCTGCATCAAAGGATCATTAAATTGCATCCACCCTAGAACATAATTCTCGGTTCAGCTTCTTGGCATAAACTTACCAGCCAACTGTCACGAGTAAGAAAAGCTTTTCAGATCGATTCCTTTTTCGCTTAATGAAAGTAACGCAGCAATCCAAGGATATTTCATTATTATGATGAAGGCTCTGGTTAATGCCAGATGTCAATGCGAGATGCATTCTGAATATTTTTGCTTCTCGTTTAACATTAGTATTACCGACCACTCTAATGTAAGACTTGTATCAAAGAAATCAAAGTGAACGGTACATGAAGATTATATAATCATATATATTATAAAAAATCATTTAAATTCCCAAAAATATATCATTGTAAATCTATGAAATTTCTATGAAAGGCTATAAATTGCTTTATCCACGTATTTTATAAAAAAATCATTCAAGTTCCCAAAAATGCATCGCCATAAAATTATAATGTTTCCATAAAACTTCATAAATTGGTCATTTTGTCTGCCCCAATAATTTTCATATTGAAGTTACGTCGTTCTTCCTAACGATAAACTCTATTATTCAACATCCAATTTCAAGCTCTGTTATTACAATTTATTACAAAAATGCAGTTTTTTAAATATCGTCGATTTATCACACAATACATATTCGTAAAATTTCCGTTACCACATTCGTAAAATTTCACCATTTTATAAAAACATCGGATGATGTCGCGATGACAATCGTGCGTGTCTATCGATGAAAACGTTACGCCGTTCGTAATTTTCGTTACACGGTGTTCTGTCAGTTTTTAATTTTTGTTAGGTCGTTTCGGTGGAGCCAGCAAAACAAGCAGCATAGAGCACGGAATTGTACTCGAAAATGGAAAACCCTTGCCTTTGTGCTGCCGAGGGCTCGGAAAACAAGGGTGCGCGTTATTGGTCCATAAAAGTAGCTGTCGTACGAACACGTCTCGTGTTTCACGTTTCGTGATGTCTTAAACCTGCTCTTCGGTCGACTTTCTACCACACATATATTTTACAGGATCTTACGTAATCTTTTAATTATGTTACTGTCAGAACAATTTACCTTTGTATCCTTTAAAAAAATTCGAGTAATTTTGCGCTGGAAATTTTTAATGCGTGTTTTAATATATGAATTTCTTTGCAGCCAAGTCAAACAACTCCATTTCTGCATGTTTCTTTATTTCATTATCCGAATACACGATAAAAGATTGATTATTCTGAAAACAAATAATTTATCACCACGTGTTTATATATTGTAAGAGGAGGACACGACCAGCTGCAAATTTCAAACTAACTCGAGAGAAATAATTCTTGAAATTCACCGATATGTCGCATCTGATACAAACAGTAATTTTGCCAAATGCGCTTACGCATTGTAACTAAAATGAACTCATCCCGGTTGAATCCATTTATCCAAGAGTGAAATTTTATTATATAAACGAATCGCAGCTATATCAAATTTTTGTCTCCTCGTAATTTCAGACAAATGAAATTCTGCGGTAATTATCTAATCTAATCGAACGAAAAATCTAAAGCCCGTGAATTTCGATTACAGTTAAGTAGACGAAACTACTCCCCACTTAGACCACGGTAACATCCTAAATGTACTCGTAAAAAATTAACATCCTCGTATATCTCATCGTGCTCGTCGTTAGAACGGTATCATTAATATTCATCGTTGACCTCGTGCTGGCCATTATAGTTTTCGTTCCGACATTTGTTCGTGATGTTATTGTCCGCGCCTGTCAAGATTGATAATTACTTTTACCATAAACGTGTTCCCTTTTTTTTCCCAACGTGATGGTCGAACTCCAGGGCTTCATGGCGCCGTCAACTAGCATTTTCTCGTTGGACTTCTCGCAATACAGTTAGGTCACTTATCGTACCAGGACAATCTGGCTGTTTTTAATAGCTTGCATCGTAACGTCGCATAGGTAGAGCTGCTATCCCAACCGTGGTCTAGAAACTTGCAGTCTTATTTAATGGGACTACAGCCAGTAATTTCTGTTTACGTCGCTGTCCCCTTTCGAATGCAACGTTGTGTTCTTAATAACGCGAGGCATTCGCACAACGCTCCTAACCTAGCTTTTTGCTAATTATCGTTAACACTATTACGTTTGCCTCGATACGTATCGGCAGCTAAACTAACAAGGAAGCAAGCGTACAACTTTCGAGTACTGTTATAACTCGGATTTTGCATCATATTTTGCGTGTTACGAACACGCGAGTTTTTTAATCATGCCCCACAGTTTTTCAAACCAACGACACGCGACCGATTTACAATGGGACATCGAGAAATCGCATGGAACACCATTGCGAAAACTGGCTTGGTACAATCACGTGTAATTTTCTACATTCCATCGAAATACCCTGAAATTCGCCGACCGAATGCGAAAAATTGTTCGAACGTGTTCGCTTGTTTTCAGCCCGTCTAACTGAAATTAATTGTGATATTTTGAAACTGTTGAATGTGGTCGATGGACGTTCATGGGCCAGTCTGAAAGTCAGTTTGATTACGGATAATATTGCTGTGCAACGTTCTTTTCCTTACGTAACGCGAGAAAGGTGGAAACGAGCTGGCGACTTTTTCCCCTTTTTTCCTCCGATTGTAAATGAACCGTTCAGCTGTGACGCGATAGAAGCACACCTTTCAAAAAGAACGAGAATTCCTTCAGGAATTCTAGTCGAACAGACTCGAGCATAATTGCTGTACGAAAATTCCAAACGCTCGTTCGATCTTATCTTTGGCTACGTGTTTTTTTAAACTTGCACCTTTATTTTCCAAAGTATTTAGAACGGAGTTCTAGTCAAGTATTCAAACACTTCCATATCTTTGACAAAATGCAGTGTAGCCAAAATATGTATAGATGGATCTGCAATGATTTTATCCGTTACTATAATTATAATTAGCAGCGATGAAATTAATTTCCAATAGCTAATATGCAATGACAGAATTGGTGTACATAGCTAAAGATTGTTAAATTATGTTGTTCTTTAAAATCCTCTTCGTTCTCAGGTTGCTTAATTGCAAAACTATGAGTCAGACAAACTGACACAAGCCCGCTAACGCTATTTCAAACAGTGATATCTATCAGTAATTACATCAACGATATACACAAATGTACAGACGTACATCAACGTAATCGTAAAGAAGGAAGTATATACCGCTACCATTTTTTGATAGATAATTTCTATTTATAACCTGCTAGTACCATAAGAAGGTGACAAATACTACATCTAGTTACTAATATGTACATTTTGATAAAATTTATATTCCGTCGTTGCATATTTATTAAAGTGTCTATAGATCTATGGAGACTACGAAAATTTGTAGAAACTTGTTCGCCAACAATACGATTAAAAGAAAATAGTATACCTAGGCAGATATATTGTTTCTAACTCGTCAAATATCATAATAATTACTATACTATGTGCATTTTTTCCATCTTTTAATTTTCTCTGATGGTACTCTATAGTTGGTTCTCTACTACCAATAGTGTGTCACGTGTTTCAACAATTTTCAATAGTCGTAGTTTAAATAGAAATTTAAGAATCTAGTTTGCATATTCCTCGTGCAAACGAAGGAAGCAATTCCATCGAACTAGGTATAGACCTTGAATCGACCGATGCGTAATCCTAATAATGAAAACGTTATTACGTTGTCGTTGCAGGATTGTCGAGATCTCGTTCACCGTTGGTCGAGCAACGTAGGAACGCGATAATGATTAACAAAGGCTCGTTATTAGGCTAGTTATTAGGCTCGTTATTAGCCTCGCTGTAACTCTACGCGAAACGAAGTTAGCGGAGACACGAGAGCACAAAGATTACAACTAAAACGTGGAGATAGTGTTTTCCATAGTTCGGGTGCGGTTATGCTGTCGTAATCGCGTCTTTCAACGAGTAGTAGTCGACTTTGCGCTTATCCCAGATGTTTCAGGCGTTCGTTTCTCATTGTTCTCGATAAAGATCGCCGCTTCTGTCTATTCAATTTCGAATGCTTGTTTCGTGTTTGGAAGGTAGAATCGTTTGATCATCTCGATTTAAAGCCAAGAATAGAGTTCAAGTTGGCGTTTCGTGTTAGGGTTCGCGATTATCGGTTCACGTTATGTTTTCCAAGATCTTAACAAGCGTTTAGCGTGATTTGTTTCTTGCGAGATATTTTCTATCATCGATGTTAATTACTATTCTAACATGATTTTTAATTTTTTAAGTCCTGGATTGTATTATTATTGTATATTC